ATCAATTTCTTATGACCTGACCCTCATTTAAATGTTCCTCAAGTGACAAGTCCCTGCGTCATGGAGGTTTTAAGAGATATGAACTTGGCCGATAGATTAGCTTACGAAGAGTTATAAACTGGGACGCCATGTTGCCTTCTCTCGACTCCAGGTGGCAGTGACACACCCATGCCTACCATCAACACTCGACCCCACAAACTGGGATATTTGATGGGGCATTTCCGAATCGGAGACCGACATTCAAGACAACAACTGAACAGTGGAGATAATAGAAAGGAATGACAAGTCCGAAAAAATCGTATAGATTACACTTCGGATGACTATATCTCCGATAGACGCATTTTAAAACATTTTTGTCAAGATATACACACGCATAACCTTCCTAGCAAGCTTTAGTAAATGTTTAGGGTGGGAGACTAGATTTAAGAGAGATAAGAGAAAATTTATTAACATCTACAGAGGACAGGAAATTGTGGAGAGCCACGATCGCTACCAGACAGGGCACAAAGCAGCAGAAGAAGAATTGACTGAATAAAAAATCTATTACTTCAATACTACTTATATATATATATATATATATATATATATATATATATATATATATATAATTTTTACAAAAATTAATATGTACATCCATTAATTTAGAATATTTTTTCCTATTTCTCAGTATCCCGTGTGATACCAGTTTTATATATCTATATCTATCTATCTATCTATATATATATATATATAGAATCTATCTTAATCTATCTATCTATCTATCTATCTATATATATATATATATATATATATATATATATATATATTAATATGTACAAAAAACACGGTGTCTTATCAAGCGATGATGTTGAATTCAACAACACTGGACAAGACACTGGAGGTGTTGAAACAAAATGGCTATTTTTGTAGTGATTTTATGACATATTTATGTTATAATTTTTTAAATACATAATTATATCTGCTCTACACTGTATTGGGCACTTTTTTAAGAATAGTAATTTATTCCGTATACACCAATCATGTACTTGGATAAATAAATAAACAAATATAATATATATATATATATATATATATATATATATATATATATATATGTATATATATATTTGAAAACAAAAGTCCATGTTACAATTATTTAAAGACATTTTTATACATTCTTTTTATAGATACAAATATGTAAGTAAATGCTCTGTTTTATAATAAACAATATTAACAACATTTACCGGCCTTTGGAAATATCGTCCGATTTCCTGCTTTCGTACCACACCACGACCTTTGTACGAGAGAGAAGAAACTAAACGGAATAGAACTTACGGTTACATCTCGCTATTTCAACAGTAACATGAGACCTAATTGCCAATCTAGTCGCACACTCCCGCGCTCGAGGTTCGAAGGGGGTGGCACATCAGAAAAACTGCCATGCAAATATTTGTAGAAAAGACAGAGGGAAGCTACGTCTCGACGGTGGGAAAGTGACTGAAGACGATATGTCAGGTCAGGACTGATAACATTGCAGATTCTTCTTTGGATTTTGTCAAGAAGCTCGAGATATATAACAGGTGCAGGAAATGAGATCTGGAAGCAATATTCAATTCAAGGATGAATGGTAGATTCATAAACTTTTTTAAGAATCCTTCTGGCGCGAAAAATTTTCTCCCACTACACAGTGAACCAACTTTCCGAGCAGTAGACCTAGTAATTGATTTAATATAATAATTCCACATCATGTCAGTGGAAAACGCGAGTCGAAGAAAATGCAATGAGTTGTTTTCCAGGGGGTTAGAATCAGCCGCAAAAGCAAAAATAATTTTCTAAGATGACTAAAAGACAGCGCTTTCATTTTTGGGGCGCTAAAATTTATAAATCATTCTTTTCTCTGTCGTGCGAAACTGTTTAAACTTCTTTATAACGAACTGTACCATAGATCTTGGGATAGCTAACCGGTTTGAAATAGTGCCGTAACTATTTTAAAGTTTACACTGGAATATTTTATTCTCTCTTTTTAAGAAGTCAACGTTAAGCTCCTTTTATTTCTCACGTCCTGGGTAAGACGATAAACTACGTCCATGAGAAGGCTTCTGATCAGGAAGTTTTGAACAAAATCAATATTCTCTATCACCTTTTAATTGCCGGTGTTCCCCAGGTCCACCCCTGACCCGATGGTAGCACCTGTTCAGGGTCCCAGCTATCAGCAAATAGTTAACTATTACCAGCAATATTTTTTGGAAAAATTATTACCAGCAATAAAACTTTGAAGGAAATATATTGACAGAAGCAGATTTTTGACAAGACAAAATATTACCATCAATAAAAAATCTTGACGGCATTGAGTAGCCCATTGGGGTTGGTGTGCCGTGGGACAAAATAAACCAAAGAATACATATTCTATTCATACGAATCAATCCTAAAAATCTTGTCGGCATTAAATAAGCCATTGAGGTTGATATGCCATTAAAAAAAAAAAAAAAAAAAACCAATCTAAACCAAAGAATACATATTCTATTTATACGAATCCATCATAAAAATGTTGTCGGCATTAAATAACCCATTGAGGTTGATATGCCGTTAAACAAAATAAACCAAACCAATCTAAACCAAAGAATACATATTCTATTCATACGAATCTATCCTGAAAATGTTGTCGGCATTAAATAACCCATTGAGTTTGATATGCCGTAAAACAAAATAAACTAAACCAATCTAAACCAAAGAGTACATACTCTATTCATGCGAGTCTATCCTAAAAATGTTGTCGGCATTAAATAACCCATTGAGGTTGATATGCCGTAAAATAAAATAAACCAAGCCAAAACTTTGCCTTCTTCTCATTTTGTTGTCAGCGTAAGAATAACAATGGTGACGCTTTTTGCACCACGTGATGTTCTTAGCTGGAATTATCACAAATATTCTTCTGAATAAATAGTCTAGAAGGATTCACCCATAAAATAATTATGTAAATTACTTATACTTACACGAATCATTCAATTTAAATCAATATTTTTCTTTGCCTGTACGAATAATTTTGTCTTTTTCTATTTTGCATAATTCGCCTGTCAAATTTGTTGTATTTAAACTATTGTTCTGAAAATTGAGTTTTATATTATTTTTGTACATATTAATATATATATATATATATATATATATATATATATATATATATATATATATATATATATATATATATATATATATAAAACTGGTATCACACGAGATACTGAGAAATAGAAAAAAATATTCTAAATTAATGGATGTACTAATAATTTCGTGGCTGGCTATATATATATATATATATATATATATATATAACAGTTCAAAAGTTTAAAGCAACCCTCAGAATTAGTATGGAATGAACTTTATAGAAGAGTGAATATATATATATATATATATATATATATATATAAGTGGTCTTGGATAAAATGAAATCAATTATGAAATATAAAAGTGGTCTTTGAAAAAAATGGAATCAATTATTAAAGTTATACTTTGAGAAACTTTTGCAACAAATGCCAAAAATTTATGCTGCAATAATCAATGTTAAAGGAGGCTATTTTGACGGGAGCAAGATTTGGTCATAATATGCTTGTTTTCTTTTTGTCATAATAAAATTTCTAATGAAAAAAATCATGTGTCAACTTTTTTTAACGATGTATAATAATTTTCTGTTATTTAACTTCCAAAACAAGTACTTTTTGGACCAATTTTAAAAAAATTACCAGGGGTGATCTAAAACTTTTGAATTGTAGTGTATATCGCCCGGTTCATACTCCTCACCGTTTTTTTTTTAACTGGACTAAAGATTTATCCTTTGTTCCGTGTACAGTATTGGGTTTTAGGGTCTCTTCTAAGCATCTATTTAAATCTTGACATATTCAAGTTTAGAGTTATGCGTTATCTTTCCTGAATAAATCCAATAATTCCAATTCTTTCCCTTTTTTAGGTTAATACAACACCATACAGTAACCCTCTACCATGAGTGGCTTTTGGGCCTTGGATTTGTTGAACATTAGTTTTTTTTTTTTAAGTACAACTTGCAGGAATTCTTTTCGCTTACCTATCAGAAAATTGGCCCGAAAATATCCAGTCCTTTCATATTAACGAAAATAGCCTCGTGCAAATAAGATTTTAGTCCACTCCAATGCACTTACTACTTGATTGTTCCAGCTTATTTCCATATTTCAAAGAATTTACAAAGCTTTCCCATCATCAATCTCTCTAATCTTGTCCACGATCGGAATTCTCACTTTCTTTTAAAAAGGATTCGAGGTTTGTGAAGAGCCAAAAGTCGGAGGGTGTCAAATCTGGCCAGTGGGGCAGAGTGGGCGGAAGTGTTGACAGGCGTGCATATAAGAAAGTTTTTTTTTACCTCATGCATATCAGTAATTGGAGAAGGTAAGTCATCAAAATGTATTCCTGTTTAGTGTTGGTTTCCGTCAAGCAGAACTGTGTCCCAGCCGATAAGTTAGAAGAGTTGAGTGTGTGGGAGCGGACGGGAGAAATATTGCCTAGTCTTTCTTTCTTTTTCTTTCTTTCATTCATTCATTCATTCTTTCTTTCTTTCTTTCTTTCTTTCTTTCTTTCTTTCTTTCTTTCTTAATTCCGTTAAACAGACATCTCTCTTTGTTTGTTTGTTTGTTTGTTTGTTTGTTTCTTTCTTTCTTTCTTTCTTTTTTCTTTCTTTCTTTCAATTCTCTTTATTTGTTTGTTTGTTTGTTTGTTTGTTTATTTCTTTCTTTCTTTCTTTCTTTCTTTTTGGTGAAACTTTTTTTTCTTTCTTTCTTTCTTTCTTTCTTTCTTTCTTTCTTTCTTAATTCGGTTAAATAGACATGTATCTCTTTCTTTCTTTTTATGTCTTTCTTCCTTCCTTCCTTCCTTCCTTTCCTAGTTTGGTGAAAAAGACATATTTTTCTTTCTTTTTTTCTTTCTTTCTTTCTTAATTTTGTTAAACAGACATCTCTCTTTCTTTCTTTCTTTCTTTCTTTCTTAATTGGGTGAAACAATAAATGCCTTTCTTTCTTTCTTTCTTTCTTTCTTTCTTTCTTTCTTTCTTTCTTTCTTTCTTTTCCCCTTCCGTCATTCCTTTCTTTCTTTCTTTCTTAATTCCGTTAAACAGTCATCTCTCTTTCTTTCTTTCTTTCTTTCTTTCTTTCTTTCTTTCTTTCTTTCTTTCTTTCTTTCTTTTCCCCTTCCTTCATTCCTTTCTTTCTTTCTTTCTTTCTTAATTCCGTTAAACAGTCATCTCTCTCTCTCTCTCTTTCTTTCTTTCTTTCTTTCTTTCTTTCTTTCTTTCCCCCCTTTCTCCTTTCCAAACATTAGAATATTGATTTTGGTAAATGGAACGGCCAGGGAAATTTTTTCATCAATCCGCGGGGGAGAGAGAGGGGTGAGAGGGAGAGAGAGAGAGAGCAGGACAGAGAGAGAAATGTGTTTATATATATATATATATATATATATATATATATATATATATATATATATATATATATATCTTCACTCAATGGTGGCATGTGTTTCTTGCACAATGCAAAATGTCATTGGTGATTCCCAAGGACAAATAACCAAATGGATAGATGCGTTGGTTGAGTAATACAAAAATGATTTCTCTCTCACAGTTCTCCACTGCCTTTTCAGAGGGGAATTAACAGGAGATAACCGATAACTGACATCCATTAAACATGAACAAGAAGTGTCTACCCCAGTGAGCGAACTAAAGGGTTCAGTTCGACATTCCAACCAGCTGAAGAAGGCCGGAGCGTACAACGGCCGAAACGTTGTGATAAATATGGCAACAAAGATGAGGACAATAGTCCGAATAACGTAAATAATGTACATAATACCTCATTTCAGAAATATAGACAGATACTGAAAGGCCGAAACGTTGTGATAAATATGGCAACAAAGATGAGGACAATAGTCCGAATAATGTAAATAGTGTACATAATACCTCATCTCAGAAATATAGACAGATACTGAAAGGCCGAAACGTTGTGATAAATATGGCGACAAAGATGAGAACAATAGTCCGAATAATGTAAATAGTGTACATAATACCTCATCTCAGAAATATAGACAGATACTGAAAGGCCGAAACTTTGTGATAAATATGGCGACAAAGATGAGGACAACAGTCCGAATAATGTAAATAGTGTACATAATAACTCATCTCAGAAATATAGATAGATACTGAAAGGCCGAAACGTTGTGATAAATACGGCGACAAAGATGAGGACAACAGTCCGAATAATGTAAATAGTGTACATAATACCTCATCTCAGAAATATAGACAGATATCAGAGAGAGTATTGTGGAAATTGTATGACAAATTGGAAAAAAATTACTTGTGACGCGTTTCGTCCTTTAGGACTTCATCAAGCTCAATATCAACACAACACAATTTACCTATATATATATATATATATATATATATATATATATATATATATATATATATATATGAAGAAATATAGTTTTAAAGTGTGCTAAATTTATGGAATAATGTGCTCAATATCAGAGATAGAGTGTATGTAAATATGAATTTAAAAGTGGACATTAAAGTCAACACACAGTGTCGACGGGTTGTTTCATGCTGTACACAATCGTCAGTCCGCGAATGCTGGATTTTTCCTCGGCTATGTATATGTGGGTCAGTGATGCATTGTGGGTAATCTATTCTGGCGGTTATTTTTGTGGGAGTAGCTTGTTTGTTTATTTATTTATTTTTTTGGGTTAATTTATTTTACTTATTTTTCATTTTCATTTTGTATTATTTAATCTCTTCGTTTTTTTGATGTTTTATTAACGTAGGAAAAAATTTTGTGTTGGATTCGCTTAGGTCGCTTATTTAATAGTCTGTTATATATATATATATATATATATATATATATATATATATATATATATATATATATATATTATTTCTTTAATAGTTGTATATATATATATATATATATATATATATATATATATATATATATATATATGCATAGTTTGAAAAGTGGCACTTATCTCCACTTATATCCAGCAGTTATTTGATAAAAGGAAACAGAAAAGAATTTGGCTATGAAAAAAAGAATGAAAACAAACAGTCGAGAAACAATTAGAAACAATAAAAGAAAGAAATCCTATGAAGTTTGTAGTTTGCGGTTTTCTCATACTTAAACTGTCCCTCCTAAAAAGCAATACATATATAAATGCATGCATCTATCTATGCATCTATCTATCTATCTATCTATCTATCTATCTATCTATCTATATATATATATATATATATATATATATATATATATATATATATTCATACCTTTTATGTATTTTGTGGTAGTGGCTTTCTTTGTCGCAAGTACTTTTTTGTCATCTCTCTTCGCGATTCAATAAAGGCGGAATGGAAATCAAAGATTTGTCTCTTTGCATATTTCTTTTTCGTTTACCTAATCGCAGAAGTATTCAGTACTTCGTGTGTAGCCTGGCATCAAATAATCTCTCTCACACACACATCACACACACAAACAAACAACATCACCATCACCAGCACAGCAGTTACATCAACGCATACACAAATACGCGAAGATGAATAACAACATAAAATGGTCGTCCAGATACGCGTAGATACACACTCAAAAGTACAGACACACGAATAGATACACATAAAGATGGTAATTCTGATGGTAATATCAACCGTTTCCTTATAAGGAAACATTCGGCATTCCTTGACCAAGCAGTAAAAGTAAATGTTCATCGAGTCACAGTTTTCATCACTGCCTGGGGATCTTGATGAGATCAAATAGTAGTAACTGTTCTCCTCATCACTAATGGTAATGGTAATATTAGCCATTCACCTATAAAAAAAAAACAAAAAAAAACCATTCAGCATTCATTGATCAAGGAGCCAATGCTCGTTGAGTTACACTTTTCTTCATTTCATGGCTCTCGGGATGGGATCAAAGTGTAGTAACTCTTCTCCTCATCTCTAATGGTAATTGTTATATTAGCCGTTCCCTTATAAAAAAAATCGGAATTCATTGACCAAGCAGACAATGCTACTTGAGTTACGGTTTTCTTTACTCCCTGGCATCCGCCTGGGATCAAAGTGTAGTAACTGTTTTCCTCATCTCCAATGGTAATGGTAATATTAACCATTTCCTTATAAAGAAACATTCGGTATTTATTGAGTGAGCAACCAGTGGTACTCGAGTAGGATTTTCTTATCTCACTGAGCATAGTGATGCAATGAAAATCTAGGATCTGTAATTTGACTGTTTCTTTATAAGGAAACATTTTGCATCATTGCCGAAGCAGCCAGTGCTACTGTCGTTTGAAATTCACAAGTTCTTTTTTTAAACAACTTTTTAGTAAAATTGTTTTCTTGATTCCAGCAACTGTTGTTGCTCGTTCTAATATTTGTTAAACTCTTTTACTATCTTGTGGAATAGTTATTTACGTTTTTCTTTTGGCTTTGCAATCAACACAATATTGGTAAGTTTATGCCTGCCGATAATAAATCCTGTTACAAATTCTAGTTGTCTTAGAATAATAACCTTGTATGGATTAAACTCTGAGAGGAGCGGCGATAAGTTGAACTGGACAAAAAACCATCAGATCTACCAACTCAAGGTACAAACACTGAGCAGGGTACAATTCGAGCCCACATTGTTTTTAGAGAGAGTCAATGGACACGAGGATACGATAAGTTATCTGAAAAATCACTCAAAAGATCATAAGGAAGAAGTATCAAAGGAACACAATCCCGGATCGGTTGAGGCGCGAGCAAGCATGCCAATCTAGGATGGGTGTCACAAATAGACGACTGGAACGACAAAAACAATCAGATCTACCAACTCAAGGTACAGACATTGAGCAGGGTACTAACATCGGAACGTATAACTTTCGATCCTACTTTGTTTTCAGAGAGGGTCAATGGATATGAGAATATCGGAACTCGTGGGAGCCAACGTCAGCAGATCCTCTTGTAAGAACTTGACCGTTTCTTCATCCTTCAGGTATACCCCCCCACGACAACTGAAGCAGTCTAGGGACTAATGTTGAAGGAGATAATGATATTATATGTCCTGGTAAGAAAGGGCATATTATTCTTATTTCTTTTTTCTATATTTTATTTACTCTATAAACTCGTTTCCTTCCAAGGAAGGCAACAGTGCCACTAAGACGCAATTGGTTACGAAAGAAAGGATTGAGGGTTTAAGAAAATAATTAACACGTTAGTGAGGAGAATTAAATGACAATTAAAGAACAGGACATGATAGCGATGGATGTTACATTAAAATGTCTGAAGATCGTAGTTGACAGGGAAGTATAAAATCAGAAGGGAGTTCATCAGCGTTCTAGGAAAGTTGTGACCCTGGATATTTGCGTTGAAAACATATGTGTACCAGATTTTTGGGACCCTGGACATTTACGTCCCGGATATTTGTGACCCTGGTCATTTGCGTCCCGGATATTCGCGCCCCTGGACATTTCGGTAAACGACAATGGCGTCCATAGACACTTGCGTCCCTGGAAATTTGCGTCCTGGAAAATTGCGTACCAGACAACTGCGTCACTGGATATTTCTACTCCGGAGAATTACGTAACTGACAATTGCGTCCCTGAATATTTGCGCCCCGGACAATTACGTACCAGACATTTGCGTCCCGGACAATTGCGTACCAGACATTTGCGTCCTTGGAAATTTGCGTACCAGAAAACTGCGTCCCTGGATATTTGCGCACCGAACAATTACGTACCAGACATTTGCGTCCCGGACAATTGCGTACCAGACATTTGCGCCCTTGGAAATTTGCGTACCAGAAAACTGCGTCCCTGGATCTTTGCACCGCGGACAATTGCGTACCAGACAATTGCGTTCCTGAATATTTCTACTCCGGAGAATTGCGTACCAGACAATTGCGTTCCTGGATATTTCTACTCCGGAGAATTGCGTAACAGACAATTGCGTTCCTGGATATTTCTACTCCGGAGAATAGCGTAACAGACAATTGCGTTCCTGGATATTTCTACTCCGGAGAATTGCGTACCAGACAATTGCGTTCCTGGATATTTCTACTCCGGAGAATTGCGTACCAGACAATTGCGTTCCTGGATATTTTACTCCGGAGAATTGCGTAACAGACAAGTGCGTCCCTGGATATTTCTACTCCGGAGAATTGCGTAACAGAAAATTGCGTCCCAGGATATTTCTCACTCCGGAGAATTGCGTAACAGACAATTGCGTCCCTGGATATTTGCGCCCCGGATAATTGCGTACCAGACAATTGCGTCCCTGGAAATTTGCGTACCAGACAACTGCGTCCCTGGATATTTGCACCCCGAAAA